GTATGGTGAAACCTAACCTCTACAAAGTGTTCGACAGTCATTCTTTAGGTCTTGTTTCTGTTGTATGGTGGTACCGTAGCCTCTACAAAGTTTTCAACAGTCATTCTTTAGGTCTTGTTACTGTTGTATGGTGGCACCGTAGCCTCTACAAAGTGTTCAACAGTCATTCTTTAGGTCTTGTTACTGTAGTATTGTGGTACCGTAGCCTCTACAAAGTGTTCAACAGTCATTCTTTAGGTCTTGTTACTGTAGTATTGTGATACCGTAGTCTCTACAAAGTTTTCAACAGTCATTCTTTAGGTCTTGTTTCTGTTGTGTGGTGGTACCGTAGCCTCTATAAAGTGTTCGGCAGTCATTCTTTAGGTCTTGTTACTGTTGTATGGTGGTACCGTAGCCTCTTCAAGTTTTGTATAGTTATTACTTTCCGAATATACAATGTGTTTTTAAATATTTTATGCAACGTATAGAAATAATAACAATTGAACTTTCTTTGACAGGACTGCTGTGCACTGGTTATCGTAACCGAGTTTCATCAGTGAAAGAAAGTTCCTGTTTCCATGGGGCACGCTTCTTTATTTGAACAGCCTTTTCTATAAAATGTATATATTTAGAAAAATTGAACGTTCTTTTCTAAACAACAACGTAATCAGGATATTTGAGTTATTCCTTTTTTTCTTACATTTGTCGTCTACTTTGTGCTTTTGTAGTACCGATATTTGAGAGTATAAAAGAGGTGAGTACTAAAGTCACCGTTATACTGATCTATAATTTGTAACTCAGCGATTCTTTTGGTCCTACTACTTACTTATGGGTGGTAGTATCTTTTAACAAGAATATATTAACATCAACATTCTTGGTATTTACCGACATTTATGTAACGCTAAGATGTAATGCTCGTGTATCGCTTTTAAGTCATTCAGTTTGTTTTTGTCCTCAAAGTTGTATTTCGATTTTTTCCCTAAATAAAAATCAGTGCACTTCATTTAATCCTCACCGTTCTTCTGGTTCTGTAATGTTTGTACTATAAAAATTAACCATATTGTCTCTGTTACTTTCTTTACTTCATCATCCACTAACACACTTCTTGTAATTAACTGAAAACAACTTGTCAAGAATAAAACGAATTTATTAATATATATTTAATTTACTGCGCATAGACTACAATGTTTGGTAAAAGCCTCAAAATACAGGAAAAGGCCATAAACTTTTAGGTAAGAAATGACTTCTCTGTCACGTTACATACTTTATGTCAGCATAACGTGACTTTTTTAATTAATGCGTTACTAATGTTTGCATGAAGTGACTTCTCTGTTACGTAACTTATGTCAGCATAACGTGACTTTTTTAATTAATGCGTTACTAATTTTTACATGAAGTGACTTCTCTGTTACGTAACTTATGTCAGCATAACGTGACTTTTTTAATTAATGCGTTACTAATGTTTACATGAAGTGAATTCTCTGTTACATAACTTATGTCAGCATAACATGAACTTTTTTTAACGCGTTACGTAGTTTTAACATGAAGTGACTTCCCTATTACATGGTTGATGACAGCATAACGTGACCTTTCTAACATGTAATTTTATGTCACTTGTTTTCTATAAATTCGTGACTTTGTGAAAAGTCCTAAAGTTTTATGTGCATTATTAGAAACTATCCGTTTGATTATATAAGATCCATATTGTGTCCGAACTGAAATAATTCGATTGTTCACTTCTTTAAAAGTAACATCTTTGTTTTTATCAATAATTCAGCAACTTAACTTCATTAAATAGCACAATCTGTCAATAACAAAATAGATATTGCTTAGAATAATTTCACTATTTACAGTTTTTAGAAAGTTAAGACCACTATATGAAACCATTTTCCAAGCGTCAATAATCCGTTTACTTGAAATAATAAAATTATTTAATCCCAAAAAAGACAACTTACTGAATATTTAATGTAGGTTTGCCTCTAAAATGTATTTTTGCCATACGTATAAAGAAACTAAAATTATAGAACATTATAACTTTTTACAGCTTAAATTCGTTAAAGTCGAACTTATATTAGATGATGATGTTTAATATCCTGATTTTGAAATGGAGAACCGTTCGGTTTCTTTAATTTCAGAAATGAAAACAGTTTATTGTAAAATTTAACGAAACAATCAACCACTGCTCTCTATACTGAACTGGACGAAGTGAAGTCACTGAAGGTATAAAATGACCATCTTGTTGGCCCCTTGTCCTTTCATTTGCTGAGAAGCAGTGTAGTTCTAGAGTTGTAGCCTGTAAAAATGCTAATGTGCGTTGAGTGGAATTGTAAAATTAGACCAAGAGCTGTTCCTTTGTCATTACATTGGTAAGTTCATGCTTCTTCCCTCCCCCCAATATAACATGACATTAAAGAACAACAAGAGACCTTTTGGTCTATTTAGGCTGCCTTATCCACTAAACTAAATCCTAAAACCATCTTCAAGCCAGCTCTTATTCGAATATTTATCAACCTTTCCCTTCAACTCTATTAAAATTAATTGCATCCAACAAGTCGTTGCCATGTCTATCTATATAGAAACTATAATATATTCTGACACTAAACTCAAACTCGCTGAATACTCATTAACTTCACTAACTGATTACTCATATTTATAAATAATGTACCCTTGTCTCTAGATGTCACACAAAGTTTCTTGATTATTGCATCATCATGGCTAAGAATTAAATTATAACATTGAGAATACAGCTTGCAACAACCAATCTGGTCCTTCAAGGCTGTCTTTGTAGATCCATCTTTGAGAAAAGTAAAAATTTAAACTCATCCTTTATTTTTCACGAAATCATTGATTCCCCTAGTAAACTCAAGTACTGACTTCCACTAGAGTGGACAGCAAATCATACCATAAATAAATCATTTATTAGATAAATAAAATTGTCCTAACTGGTGTCTAGCCTGTCTTTTTCAAATTTTAAATTGTGCCTTTTATGTAGCACTAAGAAACCAGAAGTCTTCATCTTATCGATCCCTTGGATAATCTTGTAAATATGCATCATTAACATCACATTTTATCTTAATCTATCCTCATTCAATAATCCTTCCATCCTTGGAATCAGCACAGAGAAGCAATATACAAGTACTCAATTATATATACACAAAGTACCCTTTAACAAAGAAAGTAATGTACTAATAAAAGTAAACAACTTTAACATTGATTGCCTACCCCTTTAGAAAGGGGGCAGTCTAACAGACTATGTCAAACTTTAAAAAAAATAGAAACTCTTTAATGAATTAAATACATAATGAGGTAATGAAAACACAATATAAAAAAATCACATCTTTTATATAAATGATCACATAAACAGTCAAAATCTGCAAAAATACATTAATATAACCCCTTTTACAATAAATGACAACATCAAAGAACCTTGAAATGAAACCTAACACAAATAAAAAGCAAACCATAATTAGAATAAATACCTATTTATACCAGAATGTTCTATTAAAACACTGACAGAAATGACCAGAATTAAATAAATAAAAACAATAATTCACACAATATATACTGGGAAACGGTACTGCAGCTTCCTGATGATGAAATTCCCGAGTGGGCACTTGTAACCTTCCTGACAACAGTGGAACTTTGGTTTAAAGTCCAGCATTTGCTTCACTTGTCAAGTGGCAGCCATCTTCTTGGGCCAATGTCTTAAGCTAAGCAGGTGTCTCCTCATATTAGTCCTTAATCACACCAGTGGTCCATCAAATAATAGAAAAACCCTTTGAGAACACTCAGCAACAAGAGGTGGAAATGCTAGCAAATTCAAGAACACAGCAGCCAAAGCATCCAGAATTTGAACCTTTATACAAAAGTTCAGCCACTTCATAGGTCATAATGCAAGGTTACACCCACGAACTTTAACTAAAGCTATTGGTCAAATGACATACTTACGGGCTTCACATTTATACAAAAGTTCAGCCACTTCATAGGTCATAATGCAAGGTTACACCCACAAACTTTGACTAAAGCTATTGGTCAAATGACATACTTACGGGTTTCACATTTATTCATGCAATTGAATATATCCTGAGAACATTAGAACTTTCAAATTCCTAGACTTGTGCTTATGCATGTCTCCAATTCACCAATTACTTGTGCCTGTGGCTGCTTTCAGATGTTGGAGCACCCACCTTGCTTCATTGTTCTTCATACCATCTGACTAAAAGGTAAACAGCACCCACTTTTAGTATGAAGGAACAGGGGTTTAGAATGAAATAGTTTCCAAGTTATGTAAAAGTTTCACCATGTACACATTACTGTCCATGTTTTCCTAGTACACATACAGTCTACATTTTCATGCTAGATTAGAGTAAATTTAATGAAACAACGCAAAGGAAATATTCAACAAAACTGTTTGCATATTTCAAATATTTCAATCTGCATGACTCAAAATATTGTTATCACAACCAAATATACCACTGGCTACAATTGGTTATGATATCCAAGTCAATGTCTGAATTTCATATACTTCTGATAATTTCACTGTTTATGAATATTTCAGCTCAATCCAGTTGAAATATCTTCTGCACCACACTTTACGAGAAACACTAGGTAAAACTGCGTCATCAAAACATCGTATAAAACTCTCTCTCAATCATAGTGTGTGCCAACATTATTCTGTTACTGGCATTATTTAAAAAAACGGGTATGTTGCATTTTCCAACAACAGTTATCACAGTTACATTTCTACTTATCAGTCCTTAACATTGAGATCAAACTCTTTGTCTCCGTGCCCTTGTTACTTTTTATGGTTGTGCTCTTTCTGTAATTGATTCATTTGTATTATACAATACAACTCAATAAGCTTATGTAATCCTTATACACGTGTGTGATATCACACATGTATATTTATTTACATAAATGTGTTGAAATGTATAGACACCACTATTACACAATGTCAAGTACTCTATTAGTTTACACAGTTCACCTCTGGCTAATGCACAAAACATTTGGACAGCACTCAAATTCCTCTTGAAAGGTATGCTTAGTAGTGACTCTAGTGTCATCTGTAGTCATTAAATTCAATTAGAGTTACCAGAATAAGAAACTGAGACTTTTTCCCAGTAGGAGTGACACTGTAAAACCACAGACAAATGTGTGCTTGTTGGTATCATAACACATACCAGAATAAGAAACTGGGATATTGTTTCCCAATAGGAGTGGTGACACTGTAAAACCACAGACAAATGTGTGCTTGTTGGCATCATAACACATACCAGAATAAGAAACTGGGATATTGTTTCCCAATAGGAGTGACACTGTAAAACCACAGACAAATGTGTGCTTGTTGGCATCATAACACATACCAGAATAAGAAACTGGGATATTAGTTCCCAATAGGAGTTAGACCATAGTAAAACCACGAAGTACAAATGTAGTACGTACTTAGTTTGGACTATTAAAATTAAACAAGTAGTAAAACCTATAA